TTTATAGCATTGAGGCTTTCGAACAGTTCACTTTGGAGCACCCGCTGGTCCCCCTGAGCAGCTATGTTGACGACGGCTCCCTTACTACGGAAGGTGAGTCCGAGACCGAGGTTCTCGACCGAATGTGCAGGGCTGCAGCGGCCATGTACATGATCTTTCGCGATGATTTGAAGGTGCAGTTGCAGGCGGACAAGCTTACCACGTTCGCTAGCTCGTTGCCCCTTGCACGTAAGCTCGGCAGGCTGCTCGGCGGCATGGCGGGCACCGTCACCAATAGTGCGGTGGTGCTGGGCACGGACCTGGCCACAGGACAGCGACGGGGGGCCAACAACGCGGGGTGGAAACGTCGGTAGCGTCTCAGGCAGATGCACGCTCGTCACAAGATTTTGAAAAGGTACCGTGATCGCTTGCCTCGCCAGAAGGGGCGGATTGGCAAGATTTATGCTGCGAGCGCTTCCCCTGCTGCTACGTTTGGCGCTGCCGTCGGAGGGTTAAACGACACTGAGCTTCAGGAAGCTCAAAGAGTCATGTTGACCTACAAACCTCCTTATCACCGCGGGGTGCCGTTTCACGCCAAGTTAGCGCTCTTGGGAGACCCTGTCTGGAGGGCGGGAGTTGCGCCAGCGTTGCACTGGGCGCACATCGTCTGGACTGCCCTCACCTCCCCCGCCTCCTCTTCTACAACATTAAGGAAATATGTCAGATGTGGTGCGCTGTCCCCATGGATGAAGGGGTCACTTGGAAGAGTTCGCGAGGGCCCATCCAGAGAATGCATGTGTCGTTGAATCGTATTGGGTGGCGTAGTGTTTCTGCGCTCACGTGGCTCGACGACGCTGATAGAGTCGTGCATCCTGGGTATAACTCGCCTGCCCTTCTAGGTCAGTTGCTGCAGCCCGGCACTCAACGACACCATGAGAGAGTTTTGGCTAGGCTCCTGCCGCCCTTCGATGGGACGCGTGTTTGCACGGAACCCTTGGCCCGATTGCTGTGCCCCGAGTCCAAAAAGTTGGCCCCGAGGGAAAAATACCTTGTCACCGCTGCGTGTTGTGAAGGACTCTGGACCAGAGCCAGAGCCCGAGCTGCAGGCTATCTCTGCGATGGCAGGTGCCCACTCTGTGGCGAGCCTGACGGAGTCAGGCACCGCATCTGGAAATGTCAGCATCACGATGCTGTCCAGGCTCGGCAAGATGCGGCTGTTGATCATCCCGAATGGTTGCTGGAGGCGACCGAGAGCGCGGATCGCTGCTTCTGGGACGAGCTCAAGTTGGACCATCCAGGGTCGAAGCTCCCTCCTCCCAGCTCCGACCCCAACCCAAAGCTGTTCAACCCCGAGGGGCAGGAAATTGTTTGGGACTCCATTGACCTCCAGGGCCTGGACATTTGTATGGGCGGTTCTTGTGCTCGTCATGTTGTGAGGGATTTGTCCCGGGCCGCCTTCGCTTGGGTCTTTTTGGACCCGTCAGGGTCGATTGTTGCCTATGCTCAAGGAACGGTGCTGGACGTGCCCCAGCAGACCCCGCAGGCGGCTGAGCACCAAGCCATGGCGCTGGTGCCTTTCTTTGTTGAACACAGCGGGGATCGTTATCCTGATTGTGCCACCGTCACTAAGTTGTGTAACACGCCAGTACAGCATCAGATCTCGAGAAAACACCGCTACGCGGGAATGCGCCGTGGGGCTTCTCTGCATGAGAAACGGGGCCATGAGTACAAGGTTATTCACACGCCAGCCCACCGCTCTCAAGCGGTCATCGATAGTCTCCCAGGGCCTGAGAGAAGGATCGCCATAGGTAACCAAGCTGCAGATGCCTTAGCCAAGCAAGCTCTCCTCCTCCACCCTCAGGCCTCTCCTGCGGTGTACCAAGAAGTTAGTGATGATCTTGATAAATTAGTGTTCGCGGCCAAGGTCATGGCCAAAGTTTTGTGTGTTTTCCCCGTCGAGAAATTCGAGCGGCCCCAGTCTGGACCGAGATGTAAATTTTTACGGACTGGAGGCTGGCACCACTGGGAAAATCTCGATGGGGGCCGTGCCAGGTGTCTGCGATGCCTTCAGTTTAGTAGTGACCCTGACAGTCGGCCTGAACTTGGCTGCCGAGGGCCGAATCGGACCTGGAAGGGTGTTCTGGATTTCACCAAGGGCCACACTCTTGCGCACACGTTCGTTACGCGCAAGCAGAAAGTATCTAGCATGATGTTTTGTACCACGTGCGGGGCTTACACGTCCCGCCGATGCCTCAAGCTTGGTCAAGACTGTATCGGCAAGAAGCTGCCAGGGGCTAAGACGCCCCTCCCTAGGATCATGTCTGGCCTCCACCCTCACTATAGGAACGAGGAGGGTCGCGTCTCGTCCACTTCTCGAAGAGGAGTGAACTATATTTGTTATGCTGCCACCACTCCGCCTCCCCCAGAGGTCTCTAGGCCTGCCTTCGGGATGGAGGGCTCGCATCCAGGCACGTGAACTGGCGCGCGGGAGAACCCCACAGGCGCCAGACGGCCATTCCTCTGTTTGATTGCACGGCCGGGTGCGACTGACCCTTTTGGCAGGCATCCGTGCTAAATCCCACATCTGGGGCGAGTCTGGCAGCCGTCCTGGCGCTGTTTGCACCAGGGGTTTCTGGCCTCGTCGTCCTTGTGTGGGTGGTCGAGTTTTCCTTGTGGCGAGGGTTCGCCGTCTCGTTCTATTCTCAGCACGGCCCGATGCGGCTGACCCTTTTGGCAGGCATCCGTGCTCTACCCCACATCTGGGGCGAGTCCGACGGTCGTCCTGGCGCTCGCTGCACCAGGGACTGTTGGCTCGTCGTCCTTTTGTGGGTGGTCGAATTTTTTCTTTGATGTGGTTGCGCGCGGTCTCGCTGTGCGCGCGCCCGTCGTGCACGCGTGTCAGGCACCCCACTTCTGGGGGAAGGAGCACGCACACCTAGGGTGCGCGTCTTCATGGTCCGAGCACGGGGGCGACTTCATCCTGACTGTGGCTCGGCTGATGTTGCTGTGGCCCGTGAGCTTCGGTTCTGGACCCCAACATCTTTTGTTGGCGTTGGGCGCGCGTCATCGTGCAGGCTGCCTCCTCGGTTCGGCCGCTGCCGAGGTCGTAGCTTTACGCCAGCAGATCCACACGGCCATCGCCCCATCTGAGGACGAGGCCCCGCTCGCTAGGCCGACGGATGTGGATTCTGGATCTGAGTTTGAGGGCTGTGCTTAACCTAACAAGTAGGTCAGCCAAGCACGGTCTTGTTTGTCGCGCATCTTGCGCGCATGTCGGCGAACTGTCGCCGCCCTCGGTCCTGCCCACTGGCTCGCAGAGGAAAAACCCCACATGGCAGGTTCCCTTCCGCCCCCCTGCAAGCCCGCCTCGTTGCAAGAAGTGCCCTGTTGAAAGGCCAGCAGCCTCTGGGCCTGCCACTGTCGCGAGAGCTCCGTTTAAAAAGGCAAGTGGCGTCCTTGCCTCCGTCCAGCTAATAATATGGAGCGCGAACATGTAGGATCATACAGTTCAAGGAGGTACCCAGCGAGACCCCCGTTCTGAAAACGAAGTGCACCCATCTGCCAGAGGAAGTTCCAAGCGAGATACCGAGTTTGAAAAGGAGTTCCCCTTCATTTCAGCAGATGTTGTCTGTGTTCATGGTGTGGGTCCTAGGTTGATGGAAGCCTCAAGCAAGAGCCCCATGTTTCAATGGAACCACCCTCCACCCCTGTAACTGCTGCAATGATGACAGACCACTGTGCGCTGCGCGTAAGCAATATCCTCGTCTGAAAACGAGAGCACCTTCATCATTGTAATTGTTGCAAGTTTTGATACGAATGCACGCGGATATGAGGAGAGAGTTCCACGTTGGAAACGACCGCCTTCCCCATGTTGGCAACTGCTGCAAGTGTTTGAGGCGAGCGCGCGCGGCGCTCAGGCGAGGCCAATGCTGAAACAACCCACATGTTCCCACCCCCCTCCATTGTGGTAGCGGCTGGAAGTTTTTAAGACGAATGTGCGCGGCCCAAAGAGGAAAGCTCAAGATTCAGAAAAGGCCCCCGCCAATAGTTGTAGCCACTGCATCTTTACAGCAGAATGCGCGCGGCCCGAAGGCGACGGTTTCATGGTGAAAACGACCCCCCCGTCCGACTTCCATCACCGAAGCAGCTGCAAGCTTTCAGACGTCTGCGCGGCGAGGGCCTCATTTCGAACACCACCATTGCGTCTCCATCCGTGCCACTGCTTACCAGCACGTGCGGGGGTGCGACAGCGAAGCGTCATCCCCCAGGAGAAGGGACGGAGGAGAATAAGGAAGGGAAGAGCAGGTTGGTGCAACGGGAGGTGGAAGAGAAGGGATATGGAGTAGGGGGAGGAAGATTGGTAAGAGTATTTGGATCATTTCAAAAACGCATTGGGCGTTGTGTTGGCGTTGTTGAGTAATTCTTGACGAGTTGAAGACATTAATACCCGCTACAACCAAACAATAGAAAGACGCGTATGTGCTTTCGTCGCGATGTTAGAATCGTGTGGTTAGCGTGTTATGTTTCGTCGCAGCATTCATAGATGGGGCGGGGGCCAAAAGAAAACCGATCTGACACTGGCCCGAAACAGGCCTGGAAGCCCACCGTCCGTCCGCGGCGGGTTCCGACGATGAAAAGCAACACACCTGAAAAGATGTTTAACAATGAAGCGCTTTGCGTCTTCGGTTTCCCTGATGAGACTTGAAAGCGCTAAGAACATGATGTCCAAGACACCGAGCTTAAAGCGCTGCGAAAAAATGCCCCGGATATAGTTCAAACGAACCGAGTAAGAAGAGCGGGAGGGGGAGTAGAGGGATGAGCAGAGGAAGAGGAAGAGGGAATCTGTAATGACTTGGAATCCCTTGCGCAATGTCTGCCCTCCCGTCTCTCCCCCTGTCGGGAAGGGTTTCCGCTGTAATAGAAATTCCCGTCTTGCAAAATATATCGATGGACGCGTCCCAGACCATGTGTATCCATGTAGTCTTTGTGCATCCATGCTGTTTCTCAAAGCGCGCCGTGAGGTCATCTATGGCCGAGCCCAAGAAGGCTTCGCCGAACAAGTACACGCACTGGGATCCTTTCAAGAAGCAATGGGCCGCTGGAAAGGCTCAACTCCGCAGATGAAAGTTCTGGCATGGAGAAGATACGGGCGATAGGAAGGAGGTTGGAAACGAGAGGGTTGGGAAGGAAGGGTGTCAAAAGGAAGCGGGAAGAGAGTAGGAGGCAAGGGGCAGGAGGCAGAGGGCATGGGCACAGGAAGCTGAAGGGACGGGGGCAGGATGGAAGACGGCGACAGCGGGGCGGTGCTGCAAACAAGACAGTGCGAGGTATGAGTTTGCAGCAGGCCACGATGCGCCAGGCACTTTCTCACAAAACTTCAACAAGCAGTCGATTCAGAAGGGGATTGCTGAAGACGGGGCCATGGGGCAGGTATTGTCGGCGTGAGCATCTCTCTCACATTCACTCCTTCTGCCATTCAGGTGTCGCCAAGAGGATTCTAGCTTCTTCAGTTCAAGAGGGCCAGTGACGGTTCTGTAGAGTCTCGGCAGGTCCGTTCCCCAGGTGTCGTCGGGGCTGCTTTGGGGATGGATAGGCCTGTCTGCATTCTGCAGCATCATGTTACCCAACGAAGTTGTACACCATTCATTGCTACGCAACGCATTGGATGCAATGCTTCGCTGCGCCAGCTTGCGCTACGCACTGCTAGATTATACCATCGGATGTTGCGCAATATCATGCCATGCTACGCTATGTGCCGCTACACTGTGATATGTAATGGCATGTAATACGGCGCTGTCCAATGCAATACGGTGCCGTGAGTTACTACGCAAGTCACGGCAGTGATATCCTATAGTCTGCCATATGTTGACGCGCGGCGCCATGCGATGATGTACACCGGTGTGCTAGCACATGGCATGCAATGTTGTCCTTTGGTGTGGTGTGCCAGTATGTGTTATGCCATGCTACGCTGCTAATACGGTATGCGACGCTGCGCGATGACATGCAATGGTCCGTTGTGCTACGCCACGCTGCACTAAAGTATGATGTATCGTGCACCTGTGCGCGATACGTTGCCATGCTACGTTACGCAAAGATACAGTACTCTGGTATAGCATGCTATGCTCTGTAACGCTGTATAGTGCCACGCTTGGCTATGCAATGCTTCGCTGTGCCATGCCATAATATATACTATGCGACACCATGATGCTGCAAGGGGGCGCAGTGGCATGATGTGGCATGGCATGCGCAAGTCTGTGCGATGACATGATACGCAATGGTCGTAAATAGCAGTCTATGTTACATATTGCTGATATGCCCTAGTATAACTTACAACGCAAGTGTACGCAAGTATGTGCTACAACATAGTTCGTGGAGCATGATCGTACACTGCGTTGGGTGTATTCCTCCACGAGGTGGTAGAAGTACCCCTGGATCAGCGCGCAAGTGCTCAGCACGATCGGGCGGCGAAGTGTGAGGGGCCCGCCAAAACGCGGCACACAGATGGCAACGCGGTGGACGGGTGAGCGATACGTGGACGTGCTGAGGGAGCCCGTCGGCCCTGCCGCCGTGCGTGACCTCCCTTGCCCCCTCCCTCGCCCTCTCCGCCCCTGCCCAGCGCCTGCCGTCGTCCCCCCCCCTCCCCAATCATGGCTGTCGCTTCTGCTCCTGCTTTCTAGGAGGGGAGGTGGTGCATCTTAGGGTGACCTGTGCTTATTTAGCCAACGGGCCAAGGATTACGAATCAGTTGCCTTGAAATTGGCGTGTCAATGCCCAGGAATCAAGAAATGCTCTCTCCGCCCGCCTGTCCCTGTCCTCTGGCCTGCCTGCAGAGGCGCTGGGGGCGCACAGCCCCGACGCAGCACCCCAGGGGGGGGGGCAGCGCGGGGCTCGAGCCCACGCCCAGTCTCGGCTGTGTACGCCTGCCCCCCCCCCCTCCTCTCCCTCCCTCCTGCCCCCCCTCCTCCCTCTCTCCCTCCCCCCCTCTCCCTCCCCCCCCTCCCTCCTCTCCCTCCTCTCCCTCCCTCCTGCCCCTCCTCTCCCTCCCTCCTGCCCCTCCTCCCCCTCCCCCCTCCCTCCTCTCCCTCCCTCCTGCCCCGCCTGGCCGCAGCTGCAGGCCCAGCGCGCCTCCAGCCCTCGCGTGCACGCTTGCGGGAGGGGGCACCCCGGGGGCTTTTCCGCCATTATCCGTTGGTCTCCAGAGGAGGGAAGGCGTGACGGTGCCCCAGATTGCTGAAGTGCCCCAGGTGCTCCAGGGGAGGTTTGTTTTTGTTGTCTGCAGGCCGTGAGGCGGGACCGATGACACACTCTTTACTGCTGCTGGGCTGCCTGAGCAGCCATTTCACGAGCTTGGATGCGAGCGAGGATCGCTTGCATCCCAGGCGTCTGTACGAGGCCCTCCAAACCAAATAATCCACTCGACACAGGCGCCGTCTCAGGAGGAGGGGGAGGGTAGCAGCATAGCAAAGATAGTTCACTCCTCGTCTTGAGGAGGAACCCACACGAGAATCCTCGGCACTGTATTGAGGATACAGTCCAGTTTTGATGCGTGGCAGCGTCGATCTGGCTCCAGGAAGATTACGGCCAATACAGTCTTGGCCAAGCTTACGACATCTTTGCGAGGTATATGCCCCGCAAGTCGTACAGAAAAAGAGGCTACGCTTTTCACCCTTACACTCCACAATGGATTGGGCCAACTCGTGGCCTTTGGTGAAATCTAACACTCCTCGCCACGTGTTGCTAGGACCCTTACAGCCGAGCAAGGGGCGGGACGATTCATCGCTTGAAAAGGTTAGGCACCTTAAGCACCTGGCACATTCGCTATGCTTATCTATGATCTCCCAGTGGTGCCATCCACCAGATCTTAGAAACTTACATCTCGGGCCGCCTTCTTTCCGTTCGAAGTGCTCCGAGGGAAAAACACACACACAACTTTGGCCGCAATTCGGGCCGCAAACTCTAGCTTGTTAATTTCTTCTCCTAAGGTGCCCCACTGCGAATTCGGGGCTTGGGGGTGAAGGAGAAGGGCGTGCTTGGCTAACGTATCCGCGAGCTTGTTTCCCACACCGATCCTTCTCCTGGGCCCTGGGAGGCTGTCGAGGGTTTCCTGGGACCTGTGGGCAGGGGTGTGAACGACATTGAACGAATGCCCTTTCTTTTCATGAAGTAAGGCACATATTCTCATTCCTCCGTAGAGGTGCTTTCTAAAAATTTGGTGCTTGGGGTCAGTATTCCAAAACTCGGTGACCGTGGCACAATCAGAATACATGTTTCCACTCCTGCCAACAAAGATTGGTACACAAGCCATCGCCTGATGCTCCGCTTCCTGCGGCGCCTGCTGCATCACATTGCACACGGCTCCTTGAGCATAGGCCGCAACATGTCCTAAGTGCTCGAGGAAAACCCAGGCATAGACAGCTCGAGATAAATCTCTCAGAACATGCTTCAGACACGAACCGTCCATACATATACCAAGACCTTCAAGGTCCACCGAATCCCACGGGATTTCCTGGCCCTGGGGATCGAACAAAATCGGATTGGGGCGATCACTAGGAGGAGGAAATCTTGGATCAGGGTGGTCCCATTTCAGTTCGTCCCAGAATTTGCGGTCCTCGCTAGTAACCGCTTCGTGAAGCCACTCCTCATGCTCGCCGACAGCCTCGGTGCGTCCCTTGACGGCGTCCGAGTGTCGACAATCCCAAAGGCGGTGTCGTACATTGTCCTGCTCCTGGCACAGAGGGCACTGGGTGCCGCAGTCGTAGCCCGAGGCCTTGGCCCTGGACCGTGTCCAGATGCCTCCACAAAAGCTCGTGATGGCCATGTACTTTTCACGGGGAAGAAGCTTTTGGACCCAGGCGACAACAGGCGGACCAACGGTTCCGTGGCAACACGATTGCCCGAGAAGCCAGGGGTGAGCTCCGCAAGAACTCGTTCGTGGTGTCTCTGGGTCCCGATCCTCAACATCTGGCCAACAAGAGCAGGGCTGTTGAAACCAAGATGTACAACCCTTTCAAAATCATCCAGCCACGTGACGGCCGAGGTGGATCGCCATCCTATCCTATTCAACGAGAGATGCATTCTCTGGATGGGCCCGCGAGAGCTCTTCCCGTCCAACCCTTCTCCGTGGGGGGCGGCGTTCCACATCTGGCACAACTCTTTCACATTGTAAAAGGAAACTTCTGGCGTGGTCACCGCGATCCACACAATGTGCGCCCAGTGTAGGGCTGGGGCGACCCCCGCCCTCCAGACTGGGTCGCCCACAAGCGCGAGCTTGGCATGAAAAGAGATGCCTCGATGATACGGTGGTTTGTGGACCAACATAATCTTCTGAGCTTCACGCATCTCTTTGTCATCCATTCCGACAATGGCCGAACCAAAGGTGGCCGTTGGGGCCACTCCCGCAGTGTAAATCTGACCGATCCTACCTTTCTTTCGGGGAAGAAGCTCGCGGAACATTTTCAAAATCTTGTGCCTCGCACCCATGTGTTTGAACCGTTGTTTACGTTTCCAGAGGGCTTCCTGAGATTTCCTCTTCTGTCCGACCGCCAGGTCAGACCCTAACACAACAGCACTGTTAGTAACGTTCCCCGCAAGACCTCCGAGCAGCTTGCCGGGTTTGCGCGCGAGCTGGACCGAGCTCGCGAAGGTTGTGGGCTTGTCCGCTTGAAGCTGCACATCTAAAGAGTCTCTAAGAACGATGAGCATGGCCGCCGCGGCCTTGGACATCCTCTCGAGCACTTCAATCTCTGTCTCACCTTCAGTCGTGAGGGAGTCGTCATCGACGTACGAGCTCAGGTGGACCCGCGGGTGATCCATACAGAACTGGTCAAAGCCTTCTATACTGTATACCCTCACATACAGATCATTGAAGATGTCACCCGCTGGTAAGCCTGAGCGAGCAAAAAGAGGGTTGGCCCCATATTGGGCTCCTAACCGAAGAAAAGCCCGGGCCTCTCCAAAAATTATGCGTCGTCTTCACAATGACAGGGTGAAATCCGTGGGCCAACGCTCTGGCCTTGAGAAGCTCGAGATCAAAACTTTCGTAATATTTGGTCCCGACCCAAATCACTCCACACGTGACTCGATTTTCAAACGCACTAACTTCCGACCGCGCCGCCTGGTGCCACGCAGCATCTTCGGCGCTGCGTCCTGGTCCGAAAGCCCAGAACCTACGAGGGTACTCATCATTAAACTTGAACAAGAGCGGTCTTCTCAATCGTTCCCACACTCTGACGGGTCCAGCACACAGCAAGATGGGCCTCAGCCCACCTTTCGGTTTTTCCAGGAGGGGGAAAAGCATCCAAAAAAGTTGTCTGGGAAAAAGCCCCAAGCTTTCGACAGCCTGATACAAGGCCGCGAACACTTCAAGAGCTGCGTCCGGCGCAAGCGACAATTGCTTGGGGTGGAGGCCATCTAACGATTGAGACGTGTTAGCCGAGAAGGTCGCATTGGCCTTCCTGATTTCTTGGGCCGAAGCCCTCGGAAGGCGCACACGGTCAGGCACTTCGACAAGGTCGGGCCTAGCCGAAGCGTGCCAAAAACGAGCGAGCGTGCCCCCTTCAGCTCTCAAGAGCTCTTGAGGGTCACAGCTGAAAACACCTGGGGTGGACCTGGACGATCGTGGGGCTCCATGTTTGTTTTAACTTGGCAAGGCGACGCATAGCCCTAGCCCCTTTGCTTGAACGCTTTTTCTTGCCATTCATCCCAGGAGTCCCGCTTGGCCTTCTTGAGGCCCTTCTCTGCCTGAACACGGTCGTCCTCCCACGAGCCCTGGAAGTCGAGCGACTCCTGCAACCAGTCATCGAGCGACGGCGGTGGCCAACGCCGCATCAGCTCCCTGGCGCTTGCAACGGTGGCATCAAGCCTGGTAGCTGGGCCCTCTCCAGGGCATGGCTGCAACAAAATATGTTGAACGTGTTGTTGCGCGTCTTGCGCAAGTTCCTCGCCCTTGGCTGGCGAGGTGGAAGGATCTTTGACAGCATCTGAAAGCCTTGACACAACACCCGTCGTCTCAGAACAGAGCTGGGCGAGCCGCGCCCACCCTTGATACACCAGCTCCGTGCTAGCACTGTTTGGGGTGGCAAAAATGGGGACCCACGAGGGACGGGGGCAAACTCCTTTCAGACCTTTGTTCCTTATGTTGACCCACAGAGACGCTTCCAGTTCGATTTCGAGGCGATTGGAAAAGGCTCTCCAAGCCTTACTGAGGAGTTCCCAGGCGAAACCGACGGGTCTGTTCACGGCCGCCTCCGCAGCACACTCAGCCATATCTCTGGCGACCGTCCAGTCAGGTGGCTCAGGCGAGGGCTCGAACGGCAATTCGACTGGGAGCCTCTGGTGGCTAGGATACACAAGTTGATACATGCAAATCGCTTGTTCTTTCAAATTCAAAAGCACGGGGTGGTGAGGGCGCCCTCGCCACTGTAAATCACACTGAATGCCTTCAACAGCCTTGGAAAAGGACGAACTGCACATGAAGAAGTCTATCGTGGAGAGCGACGTCGCACTGACACAGGTTCTGGCTTTGGGAACGAACAACAAGGCATCAAATCTTCTAACGAGGCCAGTCGTTTCCACGAGGGGGGGGCCTCGAGGTTCCAGTCCCATCCGCAAACATACATGGGGGTATAGCATAAAGCCTTACCAATAGCAGTTAAGTACGACACATTGAGCTGACACAAGCCCGTACCAGATTTCAAATAGACACACATCACCGTGATCGGGGGCCATTGAGGTATGTCAACAATCACACACATGACTCTAGCAGGAACAACGATGGGACCGCGACCCCCTACTTTGGCCTACCTGAGGCCCCCAGGACCGAAGGGGAGGCCAGCATTTTCCATCCGAGCTTTCGAACCGGACCCTGCTTTTCGGCCAAGAGGTCGTCCGTGAATCCAACCTCCTGAGCCAAGAAAATGAGCGCCGTCGAGACGGCCAACCTTTCCTTCAGGGTTACCCAAGAGTTGCCGTTGTAGGATTCAACCGCTTCTCCATAGCCAAGCAGACCCTCACTGTCGGGATCGAGGCGAGTAGGAGCTGGGGGAGGCTGAACCGCGCCATGCTTCGACATGGGCGGTCCTGAGCATCTGGGCAGCATGGGTCTGTTACCCATGCCGCAGTCGCTTGGCGGCGAGCGCGGCCGTGATGGCCTCACCGAAGGCCCGCTTGTCGACCCTCTGCGCCGAGAAGTAGAGTGCCTCGAGCTCTTGGTCTGGAAGTCCATGTCCGATCGCGAGGCTGCGCTCCCACCTCCTGCGGGAGCAGCAGCTTCGGGTTGACGTTGATCTGGGCCACCTGCTCCACGATCGTCCTGACGTTGATCTGGGCCACCTGCTCCGAGATCACATTCGTGTCCGTCTGCCCCTGGACCACCTGCCCCGTGATGGCCTCCGAACACTCTAGCGCTCATGGGATCAGCAAACTCACTATCACCTGCCATGCGCGCATCACCATCAGCGTCGAAAGGACTCTTGGGAGCCGCTTTCCTAGCTTCTTTCCTCTCCAACGCTTGCTTGTAGAGCTTGAAACCGTCCGACGCGAAGAACTGCGCCAGCTGGGCCTGCTCGTCAGGGTTGTCCGTAAGTTCATCCGTGTCCATATAGAGCTGGGGCTTCGACGCCACCGAAGACGGGAGCGTTTCAACCAACTCTTTGAGGAGTTGCTCAACCTCCTTCGTAGCCAAGATGTGCTGTGACTCGAGACTGTCAAGCTTCTCCTGAGCACATCGTAGTACTTCACTTTGTTCTTCCACCTGCAAACGAATAGTTTCACACTTCTGCTCTGCACGCTGAAGACGATGTCCCACGTTGGTGTGAACAGTGAGTTCTGGCTTGAGCCTGGATAACTGTTTCCGAGCTTCTTGTAGTTGAGTGTCCAAGGCCGCCCGCGTGTCCTCGCTTCCCGCGACTTTGTCGACTGCTGCGCGAGCCTGTTCGAGATGCTTGATGGTGTCTCGCAAGGCCTGCGCTTGTGCATCTTCTGGAGAAGGTGTTGCTGCGCTGCCAGACTGCACCTGCCCGCCAGGAGGGGAAGTGCCACCACTGCCAGAGCTGCCCACCAGTTTATCGTACTTCTTCTGTAGGTCTGCCAGCTGTTTGCTGAGCTGGGCCGACGACTTGGCTCCATCTCGCAGATGACCTCCGCCTGGCTGACGAGGGCCACCAGGATGACTAGGAGACAGACCTTTAGCCTTGTCGCGAGCGGCCTTCGCGACGTGCGCTGGTGCTGATCTCCCGCACCGGCACACCAATCTGCTTGCCCAGTTCGTGCTGAGCCCACAGCCACTGCATGACCAGAACGGCGCCCGAGGACCAGGAAGGACCACAGCTCCGCCATTGGACATGGGCGATGTACCCCCGCAGGGGCGACAGAATGCGGAAGCCTCAGAAGAGGCGGTACCTGTTCTTCCAGGAGCTCACAGATGATGGCCGCGACAGCCGTGCACCCCTGGGGTGCGAATGCTTGGGAGCCTTGAGCCGCTCCCTCGGCTGCGAAACAAGCTCCCAGCGCGGGAGCGACGTTGGGAACTTGAGCCAAATGGCTACGGGGCTCCAGGGAAGGCGAACTGGAGGGAGTGAAAAATGAGCGGGAAGAGGAGGCGGAGGAGGGGGAGGAGCAGGAGGAGGATGAGATAGAGCGAGACGACGCAGAGCAAAAAGGCAGGGGCAGGAAGAGGGGGAGACGTGAGCGCACCCAGAGGAAGAGCGAGGAGCAGAGGGCCCCCGAATGGCCAAACGCACTCTCTCACGCCGGCACGATCTGTGGCACGGGTGCGGAGCCCGTAAGCCTCCCCAGTCGGAGCACACCGTGGGCCTCTGAGGGGGTTCGGTGGGGCCGTGGCCCCGACGCTCGTGCGCCCGAACAGCGGCGGGGGACGACTGCGAAGCCCTGTCGGGACACTCTCGGGATCATCCATGGGGCCCTCTGAGCACCTTCTGGGCACCATGGGGCCCTCCAGAGCGTTTCCAAGGGGCACCCTCGGGCCCCCCTCGGTGCTCCTTCGGCCCTCTGACGGCCTCGTCGCGACTCCTCTGAGGGCGGCTCGGGGCCATCCCAGCGCTTCTGCTGCCCATCTGGCGTGGCAAAGGCGAAGAAGGCCCACACCGGTTCAGAACACATTGTTCGTGATGACTCGAGCATACAAGTGGTTTTCGCGGGGTGTCTAGGAGGCCACTTTGGGGCCATGTTGGGACCTCTCGGGGTCCACCAGGGCCAACTGGGGGCGGCTTGGGCCACTGTGGAGTTCATATCTGGCTATGATGGGACATGTTGGGCGGCCGATGGTGGAAGCAATGGGGTGCAAGCTACGAACTCCAGATTTCGTAATAAAATGAGGGGGGTCTCATTTCGGGGGGGGTCTTTTCCAAGCTATCTTGGAGGGCCTGGGGGGGGTCTGGGGACGATGTTTTGGAGGGTTCTCCCAGGGGGGGGGTCTAAAACTTTTCCTCTGGGAGGGTTGAGACCCCCTCCCTTTTATTGCGAAATCTGGAGTAGTGGAAAAAGTGTCGAGCAAGCAGCGTGGTTGGAGCACTGTGGTGCAGGCAACACGGTCGAAGCAGCGTGGCGCCACACGAGGCGCCACACGAGGCGCCCACGGGCGGCAGCCGGGCAGAGGCCCAGAAGCCCAGAAGCCCACGCACGAGGCGCCTACGAGCGGCAACGGGGCGAAACATCGGCAGCCCATGCCGATTATCGGACGGGGCTGGTCTGAATTCGGTCTGGTATGTCTATTTGTTTTCCAGAGATGCTTTTCCTGCACTCTTTCTTCTCATCCACGTCCTCCTCCCTGAGACCGTGCCCTCGCGCGCGCAATGCGAGATTGCCGCGCCCGCATTGCTCGAGGAAGCTCTACGAGCTCCCGGCGGTAACCAAGGTTGACGGTTTACCGCCGGCTCCCAGTCGGAAGCCCATGCCGATTATCGGACGGGGCTGGGGCGAGGATAGATCCGTTCCAGAGCGTTCCGGAAAGCTCTCAGAGAGTTTCGGAACGCTCTGAGAAAGCCGCGGCGCCCGATACATCTTCCAGAGCCGCCGGATCTCGGAGATTCTCGATTTATCCTCACCCGAATGCGTCCTCGTCCTGATCTCGCCAGTGCTATCCATATGTACGTCTACGTAGGCACGTACGGTATGGGCCGCGTCGTATGTACGCCTCGTATGGTGTCTAACCTGCAGCTTGAAATTCAGGCCGTTCGGCGTGCTGGGCACCTTCAGCGTACCAAAGATGACACAATATATGGGTATGCTGTAACTCGTCGTGTGTAAATCCTTGCATGCTCATTGCTGCATGGTACGACCCCATGACTCGGTGACAACACAGACCGCAACACCGCAGCGCCCACAGCCCAAGGGCAGGACGAACAATCCTCCCTGGTGAATCTGCTACCCCTCTCCCTCTCCATCTCCTTCCCGGGCTCCCTCTCGCCCTCCATCTCCAGCCCCATTTGCCCCTCTCGCCCCTCCCAGAGCCGGAGGGAGGGGGGGGGGGGGGGCCAGAGCGGTGAGAGACCCGCAGGAAGTGCTGCGCATACGCGACAGGAACCCCGACGACCTGGGCCTGCTGGAGCTGCGCGGGGAGGCGGGCGGCAGCACCTGGGCAGGGGGGGGAGGGAGGCATGGAAGACAGCCCACCCCATCCCCCTAGGATGAAGGAAGAGGAGGCCCCCTCCTCGTCGACGACGACGACGGGATCGACGACGACGAGATCGACGACGACGAGATCGACGACGACGACGACGACGACGACGACGACGACGACGTCGAGATCGACGACGAGGACGACGATGATCCTCGTCCTCCTCATCTTCCCCCCCTCCCCCTCCTCTCCATGCTCATCCTCGCCCCCCCCCTCCCAAGAGCCGAGCGGCAGTGGAATCGCGGGCACCGCTGCGGCAAGCACCTCCGCGGCGGCCAGGGTGGGGCGTCGCCCCTTGTAGCTGCGAGGACGTCGCCCTCTGGAGCCGCGGCTTCGGCACGTGGGCCCTGAGAGCTCAGGGCGGCCAGCTGCCCCAGGGCCTCGCCGACGCCCCCTGCAGGCGCGGGGCCCCGCCTCTGTGAAGTTGCCGCGGCCCGGGAGGTCGCCAGGCGCCGGCAAAGAGCATCACCGCGGTGCCTGACGGGGTGCACGTGTGCGCGGGCCAACACGTCGGTCCACTGAAGCCGGAGTTGCACTGCCGTGGTCGGCGCTCTGGGGGACCGCGTCGATTTCGGCCAGATCCGGGGCCCCGGAGGGGACCCACGCTGTCATGCTCCCAGCGCTCGCCTGCGTGTTCCCGGCGCTCGCCCCCGCGAACAGCGCCGGCGTTGAGGACTTCTGCCCGCGCGCACGCGACATCGGTGACAGCGGGGGGAGGCGGAGGAGGAGACGGCGGCGGTCAAGGCGGAGGCGGTGGCAGGGGCGACGGATGCGGAGGTGGAGGCGGAGGAGGCAAGAGGCGGCGGAGGAGCAGGCGGTGGTAGAGGTGGTTGCAGAGAAGAGATTCGAAGAATGATGCGAAAAAGGGGTAATGATTGAGAAGACGACCTCGGCAAAGCAGCACAGTGCAAGGGAAGTGGCAGCACGTAGTGTGGAACGGACAGAGTTGGAGAGAGTGGTGTTAGCGAACATTGTGTAGCAGGTTATCGACTGCCGAGATGACGCCAAGTCGTCTCTGTGTACCTGGAGGTGTCGCGCGATAGAAACGAACGCAAAGTTCCATCAACTGCACTCTGGAACTTTAGCTGCTTAATGATGCGTTTCGTTTGGGCCACTTCGGGAGACTGAAACAGGCAATGCGCTAAAAATTGTTTCATCGACCCTGATTGCTAACAAGTCGTCGGGCTGGTAATGAGTAGTCTGCATTGGGAAATCATGGCGATAAGGAGGTTGAGGTTAGCGTGAGCAGCCTGTTTTGGCATGAAAAGATCGGTTCTGTCACGTCGCACAGCTTTGGTAGACAAAGGCCACAAACAAAAAAAACAGTCAGTTTGGTAGATTGGCCTTGGCCCAATGTGGCGGTTGAACAGCTACGCCAGGGCTACAAGGAGCATCGTTCTTGTGGATAGATCCCAGTGTGGTTGGACCCCAGACGCATACAGGAGGTCCGCGTGGGCGCAACACTCCTGCGAGTAACTCCCACGTGAAATGTGGCGTGCGCCAGAACATGCCAGAACAAGAGCGCGATCTGTTGTCAAGTGTGGCCACGTCTCTGGGGGGCGGGGCAGTTGAGATGCATGCAACCTGGAACGGTGAGGTGAGAGTTTGCTCCTGTGCATGCAAACGTTGCCAGAGCATCAGCGTGATCTTAGCTCTTGGTGGACGTTGCCGCGATAGCACGATGTTTCACGACGGCGCTGCTGGACGAGAACGCGTTTCTTGTCGAACATGCCGTTGACGCCCACACGCCCAGAACGGTGTACCGTTTCCGTTTTAAGCGGAGCTTCTGCGCTGCGGCTGAGTTGCGTAGGCTCGGCGTTTAGGCGAGAACAGGTTTCTCTGCAAGCGTAATGCTTGGGCCTGAACGGGAATTTCTGCGTGGCGGGGTGGGGGGCGCTGCTGCCGCGGCATGGACTGCGCCCCGCGCATATCGCGTGGACCTGTTGCTTTTACTCCACAAATAGTTTGAAAGAAGGCGACGGCTGAGCTCGGGGAGTAGGAAAGCAGTCAAGCCAGCAAGGCCAAGCGAGTACAATCGATAACATAACAGCCAAGTGCGGCGCGACCTGAAATTAGGATTGGCACGCGTTCCCATCTAGCGAGTGGAAGTAGCTCGCGCGCGGCCGTAGGAAAAGGGATACGCAGGATATTGAGGATGAGCGGGAGATCGAGGAGGAGAAGGAGAAGCAGAAGGAAGACGACGAGGATGTTGCTGAAAAAGATGAAACAAACAGGGCTTGGCCGAGGGAGATCGACAGGCTCAGGAGGATCAGCAGGAGCAGAGAGGAGTAGGAGGGGAAAGTATGGCTTTTGCCCAGGGAGTAAGGAACGGTAGGGGGAGGTGTAGTAAGGAACAGAAGTTGATGCCTTCGAGTAATTGTCGCGGCTTGTGTGTGCCTTGTTTGGGAGGTCGCTCGACTCAGAGCTGAGAACTCCGCGTGGCTCTCAGAGCGAAAAGCAGGCACCAGCGCTTGACCTCGCAGTGGCTTCCTCGTCATCTTCATCCCGTCTCGCTCTTTGCCTGTTGGTTCCGCGGTTGCCGAGTTGTGGTCGTTATGATTAGTAACTTCCTTGACATAACATCCAGCGCTTCTCTGTGTTTGCAGTGGTTCCTCTGCGCTGCCTACTACGCCAGAGCAGATGAGTGGTAAGGCCACTGGCAATTTCCAGAACAGCAGGATGAAGATGGGAGGAAGATGATGAGGACTTCTGCCCATGACACCGGTCGCAGACGCCGAATGCCCTGTGAGTTGTTGGCATCACGACGTGGAGTTGGCATATTGTTATGAACGTTAGCATTGCCCGCGAGGTTGTGGTCCGATTCCAAAGGCAGTGGATTGGCTCATGCACAGCAGAATGAGCGAAAACCTGATATAGTGAGTGTCCGTTTGATCTATTGCTCAAGCAGCTTATTTGTTGCATTCCTCCCTCTTCCCCTCCCGCTTTGCAGCCACTCGCACGAAAATTGTGACGATGAAGTGCATTATCTGGAATGCGCACACAGTTCTCACAGATCAAGCAGCCCCGGGCAGACCACCATGTTGTCCGTGCTAACACTGTGGCGATCAGACCATGTAGGCCCAGGATGTATCCGAAGATGGTTTTGAAATCATTAAGATACGCGAGAGCCCGCCCTGGGGGGTGCCGTGCGTCCCCACACCAGGGGCCGCCAAAGTTTTCCTCATCCCCCTCTGTGTGGCTGGGTCTTGATTGCTGTGGCCGGGTCTTGATCGGTGTGGCTGGGTCTTGACCGCGCGATTGGGATAGCCCTCCTGAGGGGCGGCGGCACTCTTGTGTCTGGTGCGGGGCATATAAGATCCGCCCCTTCCCTTCCCAGAGCCATCCCCAGGCCGCCCCTGGGAGATAGCAGAGCCGCCGAAACAGCTCTAGTGCCCGCCACGGTACTCCGAACGGGCCTCCAGACGATTCCAGGAGAGGCCAAGACGGCCCAAGAGGCTCCTGGATGACCCGGAGACGGCCAAGGTGGCCCCAAGCGGACCCCCAGACGCTCAAAAGCAGTCAAGATCATTGGATATTATTTGGCTTTCGAGTGCGTTTCTGAATAGCTCACCTCTCGGTGCAGGATAGCTCTCAGAAATCGTAGGACGCCACGGGCAGCCAACAAAAGCGCCCCAAGAGAAGCCCAAAATGGCCCGAGATTGCACAGGAGTGCGCGAGGAGGCCCTCTGGTTGGCCCCCATGGAACGTCTGAAGAAGCCTCAAGACGCCCCAGGAAGGCCTGGATGGAGCAAAGTTCCACTGTGGCAAAAAAAATCCGATGTGGCCAAAAGAAGGTGAAGGTTTTCTCAGGACCCCCCCGCACGGCTCCGATGTGGATCCGCAGGACAGCCTTCAAATCGTCTCTAAGTCTAAGACGGTAGCCGCGGAACCCAGACGAAGGAGACCTCGTCAGCGGGGAGGGGCACGGGGAGAGAGATTCCTCTCCCTCTCTCCGTCCCTCTCTCTCTCTCTTTCTCATGTTTCTCTCTCTCTCTCTCTCTCTATTTCTGTATGCGTGTGAGCGGTGGCGGGTGGCACGAAGCACACACACACACCTCCCGGGGGCTTTCGTACCGGGCGCACCAGGTGCGGCTGACAACCAGGAACCCCCTTTCTCCCCCTCCCACGGGGCTGTCGTAAAAGAGCACTGGGTGCCGCCGACGACCCGTACCCCCATTCCCCCCTGTGGAAGTGGGGTGGGGGGTGGGGTCGGGGGTGCGATGCCCCTGGGAGGTGTGGGGTGGTGCTGCGGGTGTGGCGTGGTGCTGTGGTGCTCCAGGAGAGCTCCAGAGGTCATCGTCGTCGTACGGCCAGAAATGTCATGGTAAATGTTTGGAGGGGGAAGAGAGGATCCTAAGGAGGCCGCAGGGCAAGGAAGACAAGGGGGAGGAGAGGGAGGAAAAGGAGGAGGAGCAGGAAGACGAGGAGGAGGTGGAGGAGGAGGTGGAGGAGGAGGAGGACCAGGAGAAAGAGGAGGTGAAGAACAACGCGACCCCACGAGCATCTGGGGGGCTCTCGGACCAGCCTGCATCCTGCATCGGCGGTACGTGGAGGCACCTCTGTGGATTGTCGTGCATCCGGGGGGCTTTTGTATTGGCCGCACCAGCGGTGCGGCCAGCACGAAAGCCCCAGGACGAGCGATCTTGGGGCGGGATTTTCGCTCTGCACTGGGCACCAACCGCATATGTGTGTATATATAAATACATAGTGTTACTTATACATTGACAAATTTGTATACAAATATACGTGATTATACATATCATCGGAGGTTGGGGGGTGCGATCGCAGTGGAACGGAGACCCCAACCGGGAAATCGTGTCGTTTCGTTCGTGTCGTGCGTGCGGGCGATGCGACGCTACGTGGGCGCGCGAGAGGAATGAACCCGCCGTTGCTAGGGCGAGGTCAAGACACATGATTCTCCCCCGCCCGCCCGCCCGTCAGGCGATGGCTCGCGGTGTCCCGCAGTGGCCCGTGGTGTCCCGTGGTGTCCGTCTTTGCTAGGGCGAAGTCAAGACAAATGATTCTCCCCCGCCCGCCCGTCCGTCCGTCCGGCGGTGGCTCGCGGTGTCCCGCGGTGTCCTGTGGTGACCCGTGGTGTCCCGTTGAATGAGAACGATAGTGAAATCGATCGTGAGATCGATAGCGAGATCGATGTGGTACCCCGAGGTGTCCCGTGGTGTCCCGTGGTGTCCCAAAAAGTGAGATCGATTGTGAGATCGACAGGTGCCCCGTGGTGTCCCGTGGTGCCCCGTTGAGTGAGATCGATAGTGAGATCGATAGTGAGATCGATGTGGTGTTCCGAGGTGTCCCGTGGTGTCCTATGGTGTCCCGTTGGGCGAGATCGATAGTGAGATCGATAGTGAGGCCGATAGTGAGATCGAGAGGTGTCCCGCGGTAGTCCCGTGGTTGCCCGTGGTGCCCCGTTGAGTGAGATTGATAGTGAGATCGATAGTGAGATCGACAAGTGTCCCGTGGTGTCCTGTGGTGTTCCGTTGAGTGAGATCGATAGTGATATTGATTGAGTCAGATGTTGGTTCCCCCCTCTCCCCCCCACACAACCTGCTTATCACCCGAAGGGTGGTCGTATAGGATAGTGTGTGTGGTTATATATATATGTAAATAATAATAAAAAAAAATATTAAAAAAAAGTGAGGGGTGGGTGAGGGGGGGGGGCGAACGCTAATTCACTGTCCCTGGGTGCGTGGCTGAAGTGGGGATCCACGGCGAGGATTATGTTTGTTGTTTTGTTGCGTCGTCCCCCCCGCGACCCGCCCGCGACCCGCCCGCGACCCACCCGCGACCCACCCGCCACCCACCCCGCGACCCACCCGCGACCCACCCACGACCCACCCCGCGACCCACCCGCGACCCACCCGCGACCCACTTGCGACCCACCCGCGACCCGCCCGCGACCCACCCGCGACCGACCCGCGACCCACCCGCGACCCACCCGCGGCCCAACCGCGACCCACCCGCGACCGTGTTCTCTCCAGTATTATCCCTCCTTGCCTCCCCCCTCACCCCACATGCCTCGTCTCCACCCCTGCCTCATCCTGTACTTGTCATTGGTCCTTTCGCTCTCTCCTCTTAGTTGCGCGCCCTCTCACTACCCGTCTCTCTCTCTCTCTCTCTCTCTCTCTCTCTCCTCCTCCTCCTCACATCCTCTTCGATCCTGCCGATCTACCCTCCCCCCCGCCCGTCTTCTGTCTCCCCCCTCTCGTCCTTCCCACCTCCTCCCATTCCTTAGTTCCTTCCCCCTTTTTTCATCAACCTCATCAATTCCGCCTCCGCCTCCTCCTCCTGCTTCTCCTCCTCCTCCTCGTCTCTCGTCCCCGCCCCACTCCCAAGCCCGAATCCCAACCAAGATCCGAAATCTTGATCCTGGAAAGGTGAGCCGCGACCCTCGCGAAAGCCCTCAGGCTGACCTCACCGTAGCACCAAGTAATCCAGTCTCCGTCTCTGCACTACGACAACGACGCGCCCAACATCCCGACGCTCCAAACCGCACACATCGAACCGTGCCGCCAGCATTTAGCACAAGCACTGCCCCCAATCGCCTCCTCCGCGGCAACCACAGTAAGTTTGATGGCCGTGATCTAGTCGATTCCATTGCGATGGTTCCCTTTTACCATGCTCTATACTTCCCGCGCGCGAAGCACTCTTCCGCTGCGATTATATTATGGATGTGGTGGTTGTCTGGGTTGGTGAGAACGAAAGGAGACGTTGCACAGGAAGTGGAACACTGCACCGACCATTCTGCTCCCAAGCGTGAAAGGTGTCCTCTAGCAATCATAGAGATTAGGAGGGTAATCCTGTCGCTGCCCCACGCCAAGGGCATGAAAAGGGGACTCGCACGCTTCGACGGAATTGCCGACACGATTGTGGGAAGCCGCTGATTGTTACTGTTTGCGGCACAGGGTACTTACGGGACAGTGGGGTCAAGGGTGGGTAATGGCTTCAGCGGGTGCATTATTGGCTGTCATGCAACAACAGTAGCTGAGGCCCTTTTTGAATGCAAGGTCGGATTGCACCGAATACCGGTGTGCTTTCGGCGCCACGGAGCGATTGATGAGCATCGTGGACGCAACGCAAAGCAGTGGCGCGACGTCGTGCAAGGGGCCCAGAGAGTCAGAAGCACCCCGATGACGTTGACCAACGAGTATGTTTTGCCGGATTGCGAGGTGCCATAAAGCAGTCGAATATTGATACGTACATATCTGACAGACGCCCACACAGTGGTGGACATGCTCCCTCACAGGCACATGCTCACACCAGCAGCTCGTCGTCCAAATGTGGTGTGCTGTTCTTCTCTGGAAACTACCAATAAAGGTTGCAGTCAACCCGCATAATAATGATGAGCGATGTTCCAAGGTTACCCTTGCATCCTTCACCTTCGGCCCATCCTTAACCGCTTTCGCTGGCCGCGCCCCGCTCGCAAAGTGTCGGCATGGCCTTCCAAGGCTTTTACATTCTTATCGCGCGTCCTTATTGTACGGGTTGACTGTACACTGCCAGATGCTAGCTTGATATGAACGGCGCACGCCCTTCTCATCAACTTCGTGAACCACAAGATCTTACAATACTCACACCTTCACCTCATGACGAGAGGCGGAAGGATCACGCGTGAGCGATGATGTTTTCCGACGGCAAATATATAATGCGGCCTTGTCCCGTTTTCGAGTAGCACTAGATTTTGAACATAGCAGTCTTTCGATTAATTGTATCACACTGCCTGCGACAAGTCCTCCCCAAACGTGCCAGCGATACATCGTGCAGCAGGTCAGGGAGAGCCGAAGACCCGCGACAGTTCAGTGCATCACCTTGGCCGAAGCCTGCCTGACACGCCCACTACGTATTATCTGATTGTCGCAACTTTCCCTCGACGATCGCGTGATGCGAACCGCGCGCCAAGATCACCATATTTCTTCAGACTCATCTGACATGTGTGGGATTTGGCTTCGCCTCGGCTGCACGTAGCAGCACCCCGCCGCCGGCAAACCACATCACCCGATGCCAGCCGAGCAGACCGAGAGGGGCGGTTCCAGTCCAAACAGCGGAAGACAGAGGTGCTTCCCGAAGAGAAGACAAGCATGTTGGATCCAGGATTTCTGGAACGGGCCAAGCATTGCGGTGTTGTCCAGCTTGCGGTGTGTTGGTCGTCTACCTCGGTTGCTGCCAGAGTGCCCTCGAATGTAGGATGTCATGGCTGTCCCCTCTGTATCTTCGTTTGTGTTCTCGCACAGGTGTTTCAGGCTGCGTGTTCATATCCCTCCGCTGGCGAGGGTCTTAGACTTGACGTGCCCTTGGGACCAACGACTGCTGAACAAAGGAGGAGGAGGAGGAGGAGGAGGAAAGGAGGAGGACGGCGATGACCATGGAGGCGTCGACGACGACGACGAGGTTACGGTGTTTATCCTTTAATCTTACCCCGTCGGCTCGGCAGCCGAGGGCGGATGCACAGAATGTTCTGTTTGGCGGAGTCTCCTTCCCATCATTCAGGAACCTGGCAGTTTCCATCGCTCTCGGGAAAAAGTCCTACCCCTTTCCCCTTCCATCGGCGTCACCCCAACACACTTATACTATATGTGCGTCGCCCACCCAGGGGCGACGCGCGCACCGAGAAATCTTATAGTATATGCGTTGTGGCGGGCGCTTTCTGGCCACACCGCTCGGGAAACGATATACTACAAGATGGGTATACTATATGTTCAGGTCGGACGCGCGCCTCCAAGGAGGACATATAGTACTAGTATGTCCCTCTGCGTCCCCTTCCATTACGTCTCTTCGCGCGGCACGGTCTGAGCTCCTCTCCGCGCCGCCGCCGACGCTGCCGGCGCCTCGAGGCGTGGGCCCCGGTGGGAGCGCCGAAGCCCACGGCGCCGCCGCAGCCAGGCCCGCAGCGCTCTCTCCGGGATGCGCTGCCAGAGACATTCCTTTGGGACTCGCGGTTTCCCATCCAGGAGGAGGAAGTTCTCATTCTATGTTCTCGTTCTCTCTCTCTCTCTCTCTTTCGTTCTCTCTCGCTCCCTCTGTCTCTCTCTCTCTCTATTGTTTTGTCTCTCTCTCTCTCTCTCGTTTGGAATCCGCCTTCGGGGGCCACCAGCAACCATCAAGTGTGAGCCACAGGTGGCCGCAGCGTTCTTTCGATTGCCGCTGGCAATCCCGAATTGTTCGGGACAGTTGGTTGCGGCTCACGTCCAGGAAGAATTCGCCAGCACGCCGGCTAACTTTCCCTTCGCAAGCCCGTCCAGGCTCCCAGCCCCGTGACCCCTCGCAAATTCCTCTCGAAGGTCTTCGATGAAACAAACCCAGCGATGGATTTCGAGATTCCTTCTGGACTTCACGTGGCATGCTGGAGGGGCAGACCTCCCCCTCCACCTAGTCGCACCCTCATGGAGGAGCAGCCCGAGGCAAGAGGAAGACGAGGAGGAGGAGGCCGAGGAGGAAGAGGCGGCGCCGAGGCCAGGGCAACATAACGTTTCCCCCCCCTGCAATCCGCGCAGGTGGCGCAATCATCAATACCGAGTGTGCGCGGCGTTGAGGCGAGAAGCACATTTTGATCAGAATCCCCCCTCCAGCAGTGTTGTTGTAGAGTGTAGAGCGGATGTGCGCAGCGCTTGGGCGAGAGACAAATCGTGAGAGCGATCCGCCCTGCAGGAGCTGGTACGTATTTCCTTCCCCCTTCCCTCTTGTCTCCCGGGCCCTCAGAGTGCAGAAGCAGGAGGAGGGATGAGAAGAGAGGAGGAGGCGGAGGAGGAAAAGGAGGTGAAGAAGGAGGAGGAAGAGGAGGAGGACGAGGAAGAGGAGGAGCAGGAGGAGGAGACAGCAGGACGGAGGAGATGAGAGGAGGAGGAGGAGGAGGAGGAGGCAGCAGGAGGGAGGAGATCAGCGCAGGAGGAGGAGGGAAGAGAAGCAGAAGGAGGAACACGACGACGAGGACAAGAATGAGGAGAGAAGTGGGAAGAAGTGGAGAAACCATGGGGACGAGGAGGAGGAAGAGGAGGAGAAGAAAAAGAGGAGAAGAAAAAGAGGATGGAAATGGGAGAAGAGCTTAGTCCCCGCTTCAGCCATGAAGCTAAGCAAGTGCAGGTGCAAGTGTCCCCTGGTTCGAGCTAGCGTATCAGGAACAACTGACAAAAGTGCAAAAGCAACGCGAACGTCAGTGGCCCAAGAGAAGCCCGCGATAATCACCGACCACCGACTGATTCAAGTCGAGAGTCCGCCCAGTTTGGGTCGGAGAGTTCAGGTGTTGAAATTCTGCACGGAGGGGAAGCAGAGAGTGATGCAGAGGCCCTTGCGTCTACGGTCAGGAACTTTGGCTTAGCGTGTCGCGCCGCCAGTTCTGGCCCACCACGCCTCGGCGCGAAACGTTGTCCACGTCTCGCTTCCCGAGCGTCAGCGTCCCGAGCTTTCCCCGGCCGCCCGCGGGGCGGAGTGACACGCTACCCGCTCGCAGAGCATAGCGCGTCGCTGGGGCCGCCGCCGCGACACGCTAAACAGTTACCGGCCGTACTTTTTCCAGGAGTGCAGCTTGCAGAATATCGACCAGGCACTCGTGCACGGAATTCGGCGAACTGGAACGGTGTGTTCTACCGCAGGGCGCGTCTCGGGCGGGCGGGCGGGTCGGACTCGTTGCGTTCGAAGTGTTCGGCACGCCCTCGCAAAGCCATTGCCCGTTTTCGGAATCCCACCGAAGGCTTCAGCGTGCTCGCAAGAGCTTGGCTCCGAGTTGGGCAGAGGTTGAAAAGGTAGGAGGTTCCGCTGCGAGAGTGGCGGTACCATCCTCGCGTCTCATCATCAGACAAGTGCGCGCGCAGTCAAGATGCACAGTAAGGATGAGTACCTATCATGACCGCCCTTGCATCCCTGCCTCTTCGGTTATCCGTAAGGGCTTCGCCCCCTGCCGCCGGCCCCCTCTCTCGGAGAATGGGCCATGGAAGAGCTAAGTCATGAAGCCTTGGCGCTGTCGTGATTCAGTACCGAAACTTCATGCGAAGCCGATTCGCAGTCAGCAAAACCAACTGATCACAAGAGGGGTTACCACACCTGGTGATTGGTAAGACGTGTATGGTTTACGGGCTTGGTTACCACACCTTGCGATTACAGGGCCGAGGGAGTTCTCGCAGTTTGGGTTACCACGCCTTGCGATGGATGTGCGTGAAGGGTGGCATCGAATTGCAGAAATGTGGCAAATCCCATGTGTTTTTGGACCCTGACCCCGCGGATCTGCGTGAGGGGTGGCGCCGAATTTCAGAAATGTGGCAAATCCCCTGTGTTTTTGGACCCTGACCCCGCGGATCTGCGTGAGGGGTGGCACCGAATTGCAGAAATGTGGCAAATCCCATGTGTTTTTGGACCCTGACCCCGCGGATCTGCGTGAGGGGTGGCACCGAATTTCAGAAATGTGGCAAATCCGTTGTGTTTTTGGACCCTGACCCCGCGGATCTGCGTGAGGGGTGTCGATTTCGAGCCCCCCCAGCAATTCAGACAACGCGCCCAGGAGACGCTAAAAATCTTGTTTGGGCCTCCCCCCCCCTCGCGCGGTCAATCAACTAGTTGCAGTAACCAGCAAGAAGTCAACTAGTTACAGTAACCAGGAAGAAGCAGAACTGTAACACTGGAAACTACAACCTACGACTGGTACAGGAAACTGCGAATCACGGTCCTACAGCCTGGTGGCCCCACAAGGGGGCCGGCGGATTCCTTTGCCGATTTTGCCGACCAGCCTAAAAGGAGGCTTGGGGCGGGCCGCACCCTTGGCAGGCGTCGTGCCACGTTTCTCCAGGGCAGGGCCCCCAGGATACAGGGTCCGGATTGAATAAGGAACACTCACTTGTCAAAAGGGGCTCGGTCGTTCCTTTGGTTTGCATGCGTTCCGCTACCTTCTGGGCGGCGAGCCCCCTGGTGTTCCTTCGGGCTTCCTAGACTTGCTTGGAACAAGAAGGGTCTTCGTTCCTTGCGTATCGTTCCTTAGGCCAGGCCGAATACTGCACGGGACTGGCAGACTACCTGTTCGCATCTTTGAGCGTACCGCCCTCGCCCTCCCGCTCGCAGGCGGACGGGGGCCCAGGGATGCAGCCAATAGAGGCTACCCTCTCCACCTCCTTCCGCGGGGGGTGCGTTGGCGGCGCTTTCGTGCGGAAAGGTGCCCTTGCACATCGTTAGGCCTCCTCCTCCTCCTCCTCCTCCTCCTCCTCCTCCTCCTCCTCCTCCTCCTCCCCCTCCTCCTCCTCGTCCTCCTCCTCCTCCTCCTCCTCCTTCTCCTCCTTCCGTAGCAGTTTTGGCTCAAGGCCAAGATGGTGTCCATATCATTGCCTCCTCGGGGTAGGCTCCCGCAGGCCTCGGCTTTCCGCGCGCTGCCACGCCAAGGGGTTTGCAGCGGCCCAACAGCATTCCTGCTCATCGCACTAGCCTTGCAGGCCGCCTCATATCATCCATATTATCTCGCCATGCCGTGATACCGCACGTCCGCTGGCGGCTGGCGTCCCGCTCCGTGTGCTATGCCCAGCTCATCCGACGAGGACCGCAGTAAAAGCCGCAGCCAGCAACGACGTCGCAGAGGCGGGGCCGACCGCCGACGTGCTACCGCTGCTGCAGACACCTTCACGTTCATGGCTCCAGGTGCAGGGAGATAAAAGACCGCCAGTTCGGGACGCTCGTCGGCAAGACCAGACCCCACCAGCCTTCCTGGCGGACGGCAGCCAGATCCTATTCAGCAGTCTGGTCCGTGGCGACCCCGCGGACTACTCCAACTCGATCCTAGGCTGCAGCGCGCCTTCGACGAAAGGGACCTAGAGGCATTCCCCACCTTCGCATCGCAAGCAGAAGGCCCCGCTCAACAAGCAGATCAAGTCCCCGCCACTCCAGTCGGTGGCCTTCCCACTCCAGTCGCTCACCGCTCTCCCGTTCGACTACCTGGGCTTCCTGCGGACCTCGACCGTGCACTTCAAGATCTCATGCAGCACCAGATGTCCCAGGCAGTGGACGCCTTCAAACAGCAGCTGCACCAGTCCCGCGAAAGTTTTCGCCAACTTCTTCAACAACAAGTATTTCAGACAGAGTGCCGGGCGGATTGCCTCCAAAACCAGGTGGCGAACACCAAGCGTGATCATGATCGCCAAGCCGCCGGACAACATAATATGTGGATGGAGAACGACAAGATGCGCGACACTCTCGCGTTCGCCGAGGCCCAGCTCCCCATCGCGGACCTTCCCAGGTTCTCCGAATGGGACTGTTCGCCCGACCCTTCCCTCTCCTCCATCGGAGCTCAGTGGATCATGCCGCCCAACGTTGCCTTCAACGAGCTTCGCGCATGGATCGTAGACGCTGGCCTCCAGCCTGACCAAGTGGAGCTTCATGGCGATGCACCTGCCACGCGCTTCATCCTGCAGGTCAAAGGCGCTAAGGAGGTGGCCACCCCGCGCGCTCTCGCCCTTCGACGTGCTCTACGAGATGCTGCCGGCAGGTGGAAGCGCTTCCACTCCACGGACACCAACGTGCAGCGGCTCGACATCTTCATTAACCCCCGACAGATCCCCCAAACTGATCCGCACAGAGATACAGCGCAAGAAGCTACAGCAGCGCCTCGCCCAGCGTCTTCCACAGCTGCGCAGGCGGGCACCACGCGCGAAGGGCGAGATCCTGTGCGAGGCGGCCCCGCTGGTGCGCCTCAACCTCAATTGCCAGGCCGACCCCGCCATCCTCGAATGGAACGAGCGTGCGTTGGAGAACCCAGATCTCAACGGCCTCAATCGCGGCGACGTCTTCACCGCCTCCCAGGCCCTCTTCGCGGACACCGAGACAGCAACGCGGCGTTCCCAGCCGCCCGTGGGCCCCGTGGCGCCAGGTGGGCATTTCTACGCCGTCTTCCTTCATTTGTTGGAACGCTCGCG